ATCTCAACATGCGCATCTCCGTTACACCTAACTGTTGAACATATCGTCTTTTAGTTGGCTAACACTCAGCGTCATACAACACTGCGGGTCGAATCGCCGGCCTATGGAACCTGCCTTTTAGCTTTTGTAGCACTGTCTTGTCACAGTGAACGCCAAAAGCTTCGCGCCACTTCATCCATCTGGTTTTGATTCGATGGCTCACATCTTCATCGATATCACCATCCTTCTGCAGCATTGACCCCAAATATCGAAAGGTATCCTTCTGAGGTACCACCTGCCCATCAAGGCTAACCTCCTCCTCGTGCTTAGTAGTACTGAAACCGCACCTCATGTACTCAGCTTTAGTTCTATTAAGCCTAAAACCTTTTGATTTCAAGGTTTGTCTCCATAGCTCTAACTTCCTATTAGCCCCCGTCCGACTATCATCGACTAGCACCACATCATCTGCAAAGAGCATACACCATGGTATATCTCCTTATATCCCTTGTGACCTCATCCATCACCAAAGCAAAAAGATAAGGGCTCAAAGCTGACCCTTGGTGCAGTCATATTTTAATCGGGAAGTAATCAGTGTCGCCATCACTTGTTCGAACATTTGTCACAACATTATCATACATGTCCTTGCTGAGGATAATGTACTTTGTTGGGACTTTGTGTTTGTCCAAGGCCCACCACATGACATTCCGCGGTATCTTATCGTAAACCTTCTCCAAGTCAATGGACACCATATGCAAGTCTATCTTTTGCTCCCTGTATCTCTCCATAAGTTGTCGTACCAAGAAAATGGCTTCCATGGTCGACCTCCCAGGCATGCAACCAAACTGATTTTTGGTCACGCTTGATGGTTCTTTTCCTTAATGGTTCTTTTTCTGTATAATTTAGTTTTCTCTGAGCTTAATAATCTGATTTCTTTTGCCAATCTGGAATTTTGAGTACACGTTGCATTGCTTTCACACAGGTAACATGGCTAAAGGTTGAGCTGTGCAAACTGCTTGAGGAGAAAAGATCAGCTGAACTCAGGTTCATGTTACTTCTGTTCTGATTCTGATTTCATTTGCTCCCTTAAGACTTGTAATATGTGCTCACTTTAAGGCAGCATCCGTATAAATTTCATTTTCTAGTTATGCTACAATGCTGGTATAAGTTCTTCAGTTAAATATAAGGAAAAATGCATGTCCTTTCAACATTCTGAGTGATAGTTAAAACAAAAGTACCTTTTGGTATTCAACATATATTAAAAATAGCAAACAAAAAAATACTTTCTGGTTTGAACAACAAAGTTGTCTACTGGTTCTGTTCATACATCTGAGTTTAGCTACAGTATTCAGGGGAAAGGTATTATTCAAAGGGACACTGTGCTCCCTATCTCCTTCGCGTCTTCATAATAAGCCAGAAGATATTTACTTTGTGTGACCAAATTTCTTGAAACCTGTTCATCAATTTCACTATAAAAGTCCTATCTAAATCTGCATCTGGAATTGGTATTAATCCTTAAATCATGTATATTCTCATCTTGTTTGTCATTGTAAGTTGGGCCATATGGCTTAATTTTGCACTGTAACGTTTTGCTTACTTGGCCTCTCAACACATGTCCATAAAGCTTGGCTTATATTTCTTGATAATCACAGGGCCGAGGAGTTAGAAACTGCTTTAATGGAGATGGTCACGCAAGACAATAGACGTACGCTGAGTGCTACGGTAATGATGTTATCTAGACTAACTTCTTTCCATAGGATAGCACAAATTTATGGCAGTTCAAACTCCCCGTCCTTTTTTGGGTTAAAAAGATCCCTTGCATATTTATGTTTGGATTTTTTTCCTAAACATGCATCAAAATTCACGTCTTCCGTAATAGAAGAGGCACTGAGATGGCGTGGGTCTTACAGCCAAAACAGCGAAAAATGTGAAGAACAATAAACTGAAAGGCTAAGGGCTAAAGCTAGAACAAAACAAGGCAAAAACACACCAAAAAGGGAAAGAACTGTACAGCTGCCCTAAATGATTAGGATCAAACGTCAGGCCGCCGTGTGTGCAGTGGCAGCCGACGCAGCTCTTTCCCTCCAGTGAGCATCTATAGCTTGGCTTTGACGATGACCTCCTCAACCAGCATGGCAACATTAGGATTAGCAGAGTCAAAGACGCAGTCATTTTGCAATTCCTGAGTCGCCACATGGTCAGCAAAATCAGAGAGCACACGCCTTGTACTTTATGTCTGTATTTGTTTCTAAATAAAGAGTCACTTTAAGATTATCACAGTAATGATGTACTTTAAGTCCTTTGGTCCCTTTTCCCTTCTTTCTTAAATTTTGATCTATATGTTCTTGACTTAGAGAAGATTCTCAGGTTGAGAAATTGGAGGCAGAGGTATCTGAATTCCGAAAATCTTTCGAAGATAAGCAAGAACAAGAAAAGGCAATGCTTGAGGTGCTGTCTTAGTGCCTTGGCTTTAGATTGCATAACACTCTCAACTTTGAAGTATTTTGTTCTGTCTTGTTGCTTAAAAAGTACACACATTTACTTGCCCATGCAGATTTTGTTAAGAATGGAGCAGGAGCAGAAAGTGACAGAAGATGCCCGCATAGCTGCTGAGCGAGATGCTGCTGAACAAAAATATGCTGCTCATTTGATCCAGGTTAATCTTGGAGCCGCTTTTTAAAGCTGTTTTCTGGAAGTGCTGTTTTTCGTTCTACTTGTACAACTTATACTGTTGGGGAAGGTGAGATGCATAAGGTTTCATACCTTGTATATGCAGGAGAAGTATGAAGCAGTCTTGATAGCACTTTCACAAATGGAGAAGAGAGCTGTGATGGCAGAAACTATGTTGGAAGCTACAAAGCAGTACCAGGCTGGGCAGGTTAAAGCCATCCAAACGTTCGCCCCAAAGTATGTTTTGGTTACTTAGCTGAAATCTTCCACCCTCCTAGTATTACCTAGTATTGTTGCCGTGCTCTTTTCAAAATACAGTTGTGAACTTTACACTGGGCAACGAGCAAGACTAATTTGCTTCTCAAGTCATTGTATGTATCCTAATTGCTTGTGCTTTAGTTGGTTTCTTTTGTTTTCTCATTGTCGCGTTCTCTATCAGCAGATACTGTGGTTAGTGCTAGTTGTTATATATATTTCTCGCTGATTTTTAATATTGCAAGTCTATGTTCACATGGTAACATTTCATTTTACTGGATTCTTTTGTAGGTCACCGCATGCAGACCTTGGGAAGATAAATCAAGAACCAAATCAAGATACACCTAACAAGAAATTGGGCATACTTTCTAGGGGGCTTGGATGGCTAGAGAAGAGCAAGGTACGTCGTAGAATGTGCAGTGCCCTAGGATACAATAGTTTGTGTATCTATAAAGAAGGACCAACCTCTCTATGCAATCCTTGGAGAAAAGGAGAAGAAAAAGTTAGAGCAATATATTCACATAGCATTTTGAAATCTTGACAATCCCAATGGTTCTTCTAGCTAGAAAGATGATAAAAAACTAAGCTGCTGTTGGTTCATTAATTTTCGAATTACTTTTAGCAGGGAAAGTCGAATCCCGCTGAAACGAATGAAGGCTAAACTCCTGTGGAATCAGGTAGAAAATCGTCGGTGCCAGCAAGGATCTTGATATCCATGAGTGATTGGGTTGCCAGATCGCCAGAAGAATCCTTCGAAACCAGCTAATTTTTGTCGGCAGGAAGAATCAAGTTATGTTTCTCATGAAGTTTTGCTGAAATTGTACTTTGTACCATATTGGGTTCAATGGTCAGATGGAGTTATGTTGGTAGGTCCAAATCTTTGCAAGGCATCCTTGTAAATTTTCTTCTCCGATTAGTTTCATTAAGATTGTCAATATTTAGTGTTACGGTTAGGAGAAAGAAAAAATACACACGAAACCCCCTGTGTTGTTAGGTTAGTTTTTGAGGATGTCATAGGGTTATACTGGGGAAGAGCATGTTTTGTTTCTCTTGTGGAAAGAGTTTTGCAAAAGCACTGTAAAGGAAATGATGTTCCAGTGTCTTATTTGTTCTTTTGATACCGTTGGCTTGCAACATATTCTTGGCATATGTTGCTTAGTGTAAAATACAAAGTATCTGTTGATTATTGCCAGGAATGATCATTCAATATATGGCATCTATATTTGTGTTCGTTTACATTTTGTGACCTGTCATGCCCATAGCATTCAGTCGCAGGACATGCAACTGCCTGACACAAGAGTCAGGAACAATTGGATAATAATCACCTGAAAATGGCAGATAAAATAGGAGTAAACACTACATAGTGAAAAATATGCATGGAAATATGAAAACACAAGTGACGACCTAGATGTTTTGTTTTAGAAAGGAAAAAAAGGAAGAGATTGAACCAAAATTTGTGGAGCACAACCTCAACAAAACCATCAACACTTTTAGGTACAGGCTGAAGAGCACATGTACAGTAGCAACATGTCAACAAGAGGAGGAAGCGAAGATTAAGCGTCATGGAAGTATCCTCAACTACTATGAAGCTCATGTCTCCAAGACCACATATGACAAGCCTCAGCCAGGGACACAGG